TTATTTTATTTTTTTTTCCTTCTCTCTCTGGAGCTTTATACAAGTGTTTTGACATTTTCCAGCCACAAGCTGTTTTTCAAAACTGTACTTGTCTGCGAAATCCGTGTTGCTCAGCACAAACAGGCAGCCTGTGCTGTGTCCCAACTCCGGGCAGTGTTTGGGTCTGCACTGAAAGTGAAACCTGTGTTTTGAAAGGTTTCCTGCAGCAAGGCTGGAGCTGCAGGAGCTTTTCCCTTTACACATCCTGCTCCTTCGTAAAGAGAAACCTCGAAAGTTCCTTGCCTGGATTTTTTTTTCCTCTTACTTTAGAGAAGGGCTTTGCAGAGCTACATGCAGTGAACTCACCCTGGCTGGTTAACTGACAGCATCCAGGAGGGATGAACCAGCCAGGCCCTGTTCAGAGAGGCACATGCAAATAAAAATTGCCATAAAAGAGCCCATATCTCTTTTTCTTTTCCACCAGAGATCATTCAAGGTGGCAATCCTGCCCGTCTCTCTAGAATGATTTGGAGCTTCAACACTCGGTTGTTTGTGGTCATCTCTTCTCCTTTTGAATTTTGGGCTGGTTTAGAGTTAGTTTGGTGTCTTTATGGGTTGGGTCTGGTTCTAGAAGTGAACCTGGAGTTTGTCCAAATGTTGTGGGTCTGGAGAACTGGCTGTAGACACCGAGGTGATGTAAGTGCCTGTTTAGCACAGGCCTGTAACACTGTTGGAGTGCCCCATTTGGTGACTGTCCCAGCACTGGTTCTTCCCAGCCTTTCTGCAAACACAGAAAATGTCATGAGCAGAGACAAAAAGGATGTGTTTCGGGTGATCCAACATGTTTACCCTGAATCTGCTGGGTTTTTTTTAAGCTTTTCAACTGAATTGCCTCAAGCCTTGACTTCCTGAACTTCAATGGGTGTTTGCAGAACTCGAGAATCTGTCAGTTTAAAAATAAACTGGAGAATGCCCGTCCAGCTCATTTTCCTCATTAGAGACAAAGCTGTTTCACTGTGGCTCTGCTTTCCCTCTGAGAAGATGGAAAGTGTGCCTTCACGAGTTGGCAATCCAGGACTAGAGATAAGGTTCTTGCTCAGGAAGGGCTGTCACCCACCCATTCAGGGATTATCCCTGTGAGATGCAGGCAGCAGGGAACCAAGCCCTCCCTGGTGTTCCACCTTGGAGAGAGATGGTGCTTTTTTCTACATGGGAGGAAAACCACTATTTGAGGAGGCTTGTGTGCACTGGTGTGGGCAGAGACCTGGCTAACTCAGGTGACTAAAACTGGTCTGGAAAGTAAAGAAGGTTTTGATCTGCCTTGGAGACCATTGGAAAGTCCTGGCATGAGCCAAAGGATGCTGGAGGGATGCTCAGCTCAGGTTTGGTCTGAGAAGCTGAATGAATGAAAAGGTTCCTTATGGTCTCAATTGCTGTTAAATATGTACAAATAGAGGATGGGAGAAGTGGCTGTTTCTAGTCCCTGTACAGTTGTGTGCCCAGCCAGCCCGTGATTCTGCTGGCTCTTTGGACAAATTTTTATTATTTCTCTTGAGGTGAGCACCAGGTCAGTTCAGGGTGGGTATTTACTGTATATGTGGTGATCATCACTGTAGTGACACCTGGTAACCTTTGCATTTTGTAGGCCCTAACAAAATAACAGCCACCCACCACCCACCCAGTACCGTTATCTTAAAATCCACAGTTGTCTCTCCACTTTCATTACAGGACACTTGTTTTTACTGCTTAGTTTTTTGCCCCAAATATTCTCTAAGCGTTGCTTGTTGGATTTCTAAGAAGAGTACTGGGGTAAAACCATGGTAGGTGCTGGAGATGGACAGACATGTTTGCCTCTTTGATAACAGTGCCTTTTTCCCCACTGAGTTCAGAGCATTCAAACATTTCCACTTTTATTAATGTATTTTACTAAAACTAACAGTTGTACAGGTAGGTGAGTGTCCCCTTATTGACAGAATACCTTGGTTTTTTACATTTATCAGCAATGTGGAGTTTCCCCAAAGTCTGCGAGTCCGGCAGCTTGGCCCTAAATAGACCAGATACCCACTGGAATTAGGGGAGTCTCTGGAGACTCCCCTAGGAGAGCTGCTGGTAGCTTTGGATCTGTATGTCAATCTGGGATGCAGCTGGAGACCTAACCATGTCCTACTTTTTCCTTCCAGCAGCGCAATGTCAGGATCAAGTTTGAATATGAAGGAGAGAAAAGGTACGTACCCAACCCAGTGCACCCTGTACAGGGACAAATTACCCTTTTTGCCCAACACTTGTCTTTCTGACTTCAGCCAGCTGCAGATGAGCTCACAGCAGGATTCATCTCCCTAAAATCAACTACGGTTTTATATCCAAGAGCCTTGCCTTGTCATCCCGTTTGCCACAAGCACCTCCTGGGATTTACATGCAGGCAAAGTGATTCCAAGCTGGAAGTCATTAAATGCCTCTTCCCAAGGACATGGGGTGCATGCTTGGATCCTTTTTTTTAATTCTTGAGCCCTTCTGAACCACAGCTGAGCTGCAACTGTACAGAAATATGTTATTTGATTAGCAGCCTATGACACTTACTTAAGATAACCAGATTTTGGGCATGAGTCCCATAAAAATAGAACTGGGAGTTAAAGCTTGCCTGCCCTTCCCTGCTTGACATTTTCATGGAATCACCTCTGCTTGGTGACTGCAGTAGGGCAGGACACAGGGCTGGAAACTTGCAGGCTGATGGTCCAAGTTGCTTGTTAAAGCCAAAGTAAATTTAAGTAATGTCACCACAGGGCTAGACTGAACCTGCTGATATGTACCCATAGAGCTGCTGCATGTGCTGGTACAGGAGAGTCATAGGATGCCACCAAACTGCACAATTCTTCCATCCCTTCTCCCTGCTCAGAGCTACTTGCTGAAAATGGAGATGATAAAACACTGACCAGTGCCTGACTCTAGGTCGTCTCCAGTGAAGGGCTCCTGAGCTTTCTTCTTTTCCATCTGTACCTCATAGCAAGGGGAAGAACAGAAGAGCTGCACTAGGGTTTTTGGTAGGTGTTCTTGCAAGGTAGATCAAGTTTCCTCTTGGGCATAGCAGACGAGCAGCATTTCTTATAAGTGTAAAAGCAAAGAGCAGCTTTATGCTTTGTGATAGAAGAATACAGATCCTTTCTTCTGAATTGTCAGTCTGATCCCAAATTCCAGTATGCTTCTATTAAATTGAGACTGTTGTTGTACTTGTTTGTGTGTACAGGATTATCCAGTTTCCAAGACCAGTCAGATTCAAAGAAGTGGTGCAGAAGGTCACGGATGCTTTTGGACAGACAATGGACTTAGTCTGTGTGAACAATGAGGTACTCTTCTCCTTACTGCTAATTTTAGGGTGCTTAGGTACCCCCTTCAGAATTGAGCAGTCATTTGTTCTTGAGGCCCTAATTTAGTGTTGTAAGTGAATGTGAAGAAGAATAATGGTATTTTGTGGTTCCCAGGTAGTAAGTGTACAAGTGCTGTTGTCTGGGCACAGCTTAGATGGATTCTCAGACTCAAAGTCAGACTCTCCCCTTCTCAAAGTTATTTCAGTTAAAGCCTGTTAAATGGTGAGATAAGAACATTGTCCTCCCCCTCAGAACAAAACAAAACAAAAAATCCCCCTAACTCAGGGTAAGGAATTAAGTAACTGAGGTGTATGTCATGTCATAGTATGGTTTGACTGGAAGGGATCTTAAAGATCATCTAGTTCCAATCCCCCTGCCATGGGCAGGGACACCTCCCACCAGACCAGGTTGCTCAGAGCCCCATCCAACCTGGCCTTGCACACTTCCAGGGATGGAGCTTCCATGACTTCCCTGATGGAGACAGATTGTCAGTTCAGCTGCTCAGTCAGCATTGTTGGACATCTCCCCATCACAACAAGACTGACTTTCACAGTTTCTCTGTCTGTTGGCTTTCCTGAGGGCCATGTGAAGTGACTGTAGGCTGCTGCACGTCTGGGTTGGATGTGAAGCTTCCCATCCTGGGGACAGCTGTAGAAGCATGGTGAAGTGCAGAGCATGAGGGACAGTGCTGCTAACAGAGTGTACTTTTGTCTAGCACTAACTTTGTTTCACCCCAGGAGACCATGTGCACATTCTTGTGGTTAGGTCTGCAGTGGAATCTGCAGCACTGCAGGTTCCTCTAGCAGGTCCTGTGGCCACATAAAGGCAGCCAAGAAACCTTCCTTCTGTGATCCTTATGTTTGAAGGCTTGAAGACAGTTTTTCTCCAACCTTCTTTATGGCACAGGCCACTGTGGTTTTTCAGCTTCTTCTCTGAGCCCAGCACTGTGTCTGAAAGGAGGGTACTGATGAGGGCCTTTTCCTTGAAGGGAGCAATCCCTGGCATCTGGTTCTGTGTGCTCAGTGTTTCCCTGTGGAGCGTCTTGCCATGGACTGGGCAGACAGCTGGGACCACTGAACTCTTAAGGTGGGTTTGGCTTTGGGAAGGAGAAGAGGACCAGATAACGAATCAATAGGCTTTTAAATACCAATTCTTTTGGCTCTGTCCTGGCAAATTGCTTGTTCATGTGTTAATTGCAAATGACTAATGGCCTTTCATTAAAGTGTGAATAGAGAGGGACGTCATGAAAAGAGCTTTCTCTCTCTTTTTTTCCCCCCCATCTCTTTTTTTTGTTCCTTCCTTTTGTTTCAATGGAGATTTGCTCCACAAAAAGCTTGTTATTCTTTTATAATAGGTACCTCATGATACGAAAGTGTCTGCAGGGTTTTGGCTTTGAATGTGGTCAGGTTTCTAATCTTGGTCATTCTCTGACAGCCCTCCCGGGAAAAGCCTGCCATTGAATTCTCCAGAAGTGACTCATTTCATTCCAGGTTTCTTTCCACTGGAAGAGGGACTTTTTTTTTTTTTTTTTCCAGCAATGGCAAACAGAAGCTTAAATAATGCATTTCATCCCATGTTAGAGTCTGTGTTCCTGGGCATGTGCACAGCACATAGCAGGATTGGGAGCAGGCCTTTGGGTACTCCAAACTTCTTAGAGTTGAAAAGGAGCTTCAGTGGTTTGTTTTCCTACACATGGAAATTCCTCCTTGTGAAAACGCACACTTTTGGAAAAGGTCTGAGCGGTAGCAATTCAGAGTTGTTGTTGTGGAAACAGTATCAACAGGCAAAAGTGACCTTTTTGGGGAGAGCCTACATGTCCCCATGGTGACACCCTGCCATCTGGCTCTTAGCATGTTCTGGGTCAGGTTTTTTAGTCTCATGGCTGCAAGTCTCAGAGGTACCCTGGCCACACACTACTACAGTTTAATGTTTCACTCTTTCTTTACACCCAAAGGGACCTGTGCAGTAATTATTTGTTGCTCTTGCAGTAGCACCTTGTAGACCAAAATGACTGTGAGGTCACCAAGCCTTTACAAAAGCTCACTAAGTGGCAGTCCCTGTCCTGGTGAAGCAGGAGTCCTGAAGCCAGGATTAGGGAGATGAACATGCCAGCTGGGTGGAGCAGGGGCACACATGAATCACATCCTGGTGGGACCATGGAATCAGTGGGCTTGGGCTGGTATAGATAAGAGTAGGGCCTGGCCATGGGTGTACCAGATGGGGCATGTCTACATGTTAGTACTAGGCTGGGCTCATCAGAATCTTGCCTGGGCATGGACAGCACGGCGTGGTGTTCTGGATTGAAAGACTGGCTTCTGCAGCAAAAGCTCTGTCTGAATTGGATCTGCAGGCACTGCTGAACAGCTGCCCCAGGTGTGACAAAGTGTTACCTTGTCATTTGTCCCATCTCCATCACCAGCTTGTGATGTGACCTTGGGCAGAACACAGAACTTTGGTGTGCCACCAGTTCCTTTCTCACCTCTCCTGGCATGTTTCCTCTGAGGCTGTCCCTCAGCATCATTTCAAAAGGTTAGGGAGAGTTAAAGCGTAGGAAAGTGGTAGAAGCTCCATTCTGAGGGGGGAGGAGAAGTGTTTAAGTGTATTTAACAAACATTTGTCGAGAATTGTTGATGCCAGTTGGTCCTGCACTGGGCAGGAAGATGAACTAATTGACCTCTCAGATTTTTCCCCAACCCTGTTTCCTACTATTCTTTGGCTTTCTGCAGTGTCTTGCAGAGTGAGGTCTTGCCTTGCTGTTGCAGTCAGTGAAAACTCACCCTTTGCACTCACCTTCTTAGACTGCAGTGGACTGACCATGAAGTCCCATACTTAAAACATGAGGCTCCAGGGGACTATACAGTTTAAAAGCAAGAAGCAAAGCTAATCTTTATTTAGTGAAACTTCTGTGTAGGGTAAACTTTGCTGTTCATCACAGATGCTCACTCTGTTAGAATAAACCCAGTTACTGGAAATGTACCCTGGCAATTAGTTCTGTGGTTCTGCATGAGTCTATATTTAGTTTTATGCCTACTAGATATCTGTTCCTAATATCCCTATGTGCCACAGACTGGAAGCCAAGTGGAGCAAAATCTACTTGCCAGATGTGGGTAATAAGTAAAGCCAAGCTAAATACTGGCTCCAGTCCCTTCTACAGGAGGGCAATTTCTGCCTGATGTTTTTGGCTCCTCTGAAGTAGGCAGATGTGTTAATGTTGAGATATTGGAGTGAGACAGAGTGACCTGAAGAACATTCTGTTCAACAGCAGCTGAGGGATTGCTCTGAAAACTTGTGAGGAGCTCAGTAAAGAGAGGGGTGAGCCATGGGACTGTGCTTACAGTTTGGAGTCACATTCTGCTTGGTGGTGAAATGAGGGGGAGCAGCTCTCCAGGGTTCTCCTTTCTGGGTGGGTGAGTGTAGGAGAGGAGGCTCGTCTGCTTCATGCACCTGTGCAGCTCTTGTGAACTTCAAGAGGGTTAAGCAGATAATGTCTCTGTAGCTCTACTGCTTAAGGAAACAGACTGCCTGAGAACAGCTGCAAAGCATTTGGGAGGTGTACTCAATACCATCTTTGTCTGATATCTGCTGTAACCTTGGGTGATTCATTCAGATCCCAAAGTTTAACCATAGACTAACAGTTTACTCCATGGATTTACTGAAAGCCCTGAATAGTTGATATCTACCCGGTGAGTACTTTCCTTTCATTCGTGTCCAAGCCCTGTCCCAGACTGGGAATCTGTTTCCAGCCTCACTTGTGAGGCCCAGCCCAGACAAGAATGGTGCTGGTGTTCTCTGTAAACCTCACAGCTGGTTAAGTCCCTTGCTTGGGAGGTAAGGGACACCTTCCTGAACTTTCCCCATCTGGTTTGGTTGAGACCTCAAGGACCCTGTAGGACATCCTGAGGCAAGGCTTTCTCAAGAGTTCCTCTTGGAATCTTTTTCCTACATGCAAATAACTATTTTTCAGACAAAGAATGCACAGCCGGCTTATTCTTCTTCCTGGGGGAATGTGTTAAATGCTTTGCTCTGGAGGATCTTTTTCCATCTTTTTGTGGACATTTCTCAACCACCTTTGCATACCTTACACTGGAAGAGCACTCCTAACTTAACCTGGAGTTTGTTGCTTAAATATCTTTTGAGAGATGGCCTTGGCTTTCCTCAGCAATTATCACTACTTCCAGCAATTCCTTTTCTCACCTCTTAATCCCACTTCTGGATGTCTAACTCTCCCATGGAAGCTGCAGGGGTCCTTGGCATCTAATTTGGGACTGTAAGGGTTGCAGTAAAGTTGGCTATTGCAATGTTCTTTTGCAGACCTGGCTTTTAGGATCTCAAAGCTCAGTGCCTGAGATGTGTGTAAGCTCAGGACCACAGCTGCAGGAGCTTGGCTTTCTTGTTAAGCATGATGTTCATCATATGAAATATGTGGCCTGCATATGGCTGGGTTCCCTGTCTGCAAAATGGAGGTGAAAGATAACTTTCCTATCACATGGGAGAGGAGGAACTCAATCCAAACCTTGAGTTAGCTGGTGACACTGCAGAGACAGCAGCCACACAGACACCTAAGATAGAGCTTGACAGGCTCGGGCTGTGATCCTTGGGTGAAGGAGGTGACTTGTAGCAGTTTACTGAGGTGAAACCTCATCTCTGTTGGCCAAGGCCCACAACTTTCCCTTGACCTGGTCATCTCCAGAGTCCTAGCCTCAGTGCACACAGTCTGAGGTGTATTTGCCTGCAGGGCCAACAGCCAAACCCGTGGCAACACCCTGGGATCAAACAGGCAAACACAGGCAGGTTTTGAATGTCGTTTTCTGGAGTGGTTGTTCTGAGGTGCATTTGCTGTGGCTGGTGGCATGAACCCTGATCACCCAGAGGGCTGAGGTGCCTTTCAGAAGTTCTGGGGAGCTGTGGCTCCCAGTAAGACCAGTGGGAGTCTACTGGGAGCTGTGGCCACTCAGTTCCTTTGGTAGGTGGAACTGCTGTGTCCGTTGGCACAGGCACAAGTTGGATCCAGTGCCCATGGAAACCTACAGAGGCTGAGGTCTGGTTTTTATGAGATCAGGCAGAATGCCCCTGGATGAGGGGCAAAAAGGTGTGATTTTAGTCTTGGCCCATGGCGGCATGGAGCCCCTCTGAAGTGCAGCTGTGTTGGGTGTTGGAAGTTTTTCAGGCTGTCTGCAGGACTTGGTACACCACACAGCAACATCAGGAGGGTCAAATTCCCTCTGGAGATACGAGGGCAATAGTCTGCCACTTAGCTGGAAAGCATCAGGACCTTTAGCTGCCTGATAGACAGGGTACTGTGTAGCTCTCTGTTGTATTTACCTTATAAAAAGCAGAAGCTGAATTTGTCTTGCTGAGTAGTTCTTGGAGGGAGACAGTGTACACCTTTCACATCAAAAGAGAAGAGACTCTAAAATGTTCCCTGGGTTCACCTGATGCCCAAACATGAGGCAGACTATGCCAGTTGCAGCAGTAGGGAAGGCCCCTGAGGATCTACCTGAGTGAATCCTTGAGTGCAGCTCATTGTTTCCTTGGAGCACCACTGCACTACAGTCTTTCCAGGGAGAAACTTGGGGGGGATGTGTGGGGCTGTTTTGGGGCTGGGTAGCAGCAGGTCTTGCCTATAAACTCCAAGATCAGAGCAGCCCCAGAATAGCAGGCAACAAGCCTAAGGTTTCATCTCAACCCCCTCCTCTTCCCACTGGCTGAATTGGTGATGGGACCTTTAAGCTCTCTCCTTGCAGATGTCTTTTGTTGTTCTTTTTTTGGTGTCTGTTCTTGGTGGATGGGAACTTGGAAGAAAACGTTAGAGCTCAGCAAGCTGGAGGGCACGGGGGCTCTGTTTTCCATCCGCCTGCTGGGGTTCCTTCCTTGTCCCCCAGTTCCCAGGCTGCTCACTGCAAGGATCTGGCTTCCTCTGTTTACCAAACAAGTGTGACACTGCCATGCTCTGGTGTTTGTTCGATCCCTTCCAGCTCCTGATGCCGCTGAAATCCCAGGAAGATTTGGACAAAGCGGTGGAGCAGCTGGAGCTGAGCCCTTCCCTGAAGAGCCTGCGAATCCTTGTGAGCGCTCCAAAGAAAGCGAACGTGAGCCCTTCACCTTCTCTGCTCTTCTGTGTCTGGAGTGAGGTGCCTTGTTATTGTGCAGGGGAGTGGAAACGACCCTTCTGACGGTGCAGAGCAGAGGGCAAGGTGGTCATGAGGGTTCACAGCCCTGCTCTGCCTCAGCTGCTCAGAAATCCTCCCGTGGTGGCAGCCCAGGGGCTGAGCTCAGCTCCCTCTGGCTCCTCCTGCAACCTGTGAGGGGTTAAATAATGTGCTGATTCTCAAACAAAGTTGAAGCCCTTCTGCTTTCTGCCTGGGGGTGCTGTCACCCCTTGTGCTTTCTGCCTGGGGGTGCTGTCACCTCTCTATGTTCTCCAAAGGAGGGTGATGCCCTGGCTCTCACCGTGCTGGGTGGCAGTGTGGGGGCTGTTCCCTCCATGTGTTGCTGGCCGTGCTCAAGGCCGGAGAGAGCAAACTGGAGATTCCTTCAGTCTCCTGCAGAACTGTCTTTCCCCCTCCCTCCCCCCCCTTATTTATTTATTTGTTTTTCCTGAGCTCGGTGGATTTGCAGCTAAGCCCGTTAGCTTGACCTCCCCTGCTCAGAGCATCTTGCCAAGCACATGTCGTGCTGCCCCAAGCACAGACTGCAAAGCAAGGGATTTACAGATGTTGCAACTCTTGTTTCTTCCTTATATTTCCTAGAAGTACTGGAGAGGCTGGGAATCTTGAAACTCAGTGCTTGTCCTTAAGATACCGCTGGTGCTCACAGCTCCTGGCACTTCTCCGCTTTTGAGAGGCTCTCAAAAGGTGCAGGGAGCAGAGTCCCAGGGGAAGACTGATCCATCAAGCAGGATTTCCTAAATCCTGGGCAGAAATGAGCCAATCTGCCCTAGCAACTGTAGGAACATTGCAGCATTGCAAGTGAACTACTTAGAGCTGAGCAGCCAGGTAGATTCTTGCATGTCTTTGAGAGCAGATCAGACTCTTTCTGTAGCACGTAACCACACAAGAACATGTGGTTCCAGGGTCATACATAAAACTACCACAAAATCAAAATGCACTGTTTTAGTAAAACATGGCCACTGCCATTGAAGTTACCAGCTGGATTGTCATTTTCTTGCTTTCCTCCTTTTCTGTCTTCCATAGCAGAGACTCTGATCCTCCTCTCTCTTCTGCTCCTTTCCTCTGTTGAAGAGGAACCTGGAGAAGAAGTTCTGATTTTGGAACTGCAAACCTGGGTTCAGGGCAGGGGTTAGTCTATCTGGAAATAATGCAGTGTGAGAATAGCCTTTTATGTCAAATACCTGCATTTATCATTAGCAAGCAGAGCACAGATTTATCTTATTAGAGTATTTTAATAATGGATGTGAATTGTTTGTGAATGATTTTTGGATCAGTCTAGATTGCATACATGTCTTTTTTTTTCATGGTTCTTGGGTAATATGGTCATGGGGAGCCAAATGCAGCAGGGTTTCACATGTGTCTGCAAAGGCTCTGGCAGAGTCTGACCATCTGCTCCTTTCCTCTGTTGAAGAGGAACCTGGAGAAGAAGTTCTGATTTTGGAACTGCAAACCTGGGTTCAGGGCAGGGGTTAGTCTATCTGGAAATAATGCAGTGTGAGAATAGCCTTTTATGTCAAATACCTGCATTTATCATTAGCAAGCAGAGCACAGATTTATCTTATTAGAGTATTTTAATAATGGATGTGAATTGTTTGTGAATGATTTTTGGATCAGTCTAGATTGCATACATGTCTTTTTTTTTTTTCATGGTTCTTGGGTAATATGGTCATGGGGAGCCAAATGCAGGGTTTCACATGGTGTGTCTGCAAAGGCTCTGGCAGAGTCTGACCATTCCCTTTATCTGATTGCCAGCTCCTCCAGCCAAACAACAGCAAACAGCATGAAATGAGGATCTCCAGATCCATGGGTGATATAATGGGATCCCTGTACAAGGACTCTGAGAGGACGCGGAAATATTCAACAGGTCAGTGAAATGCTCTGCGGGGTGTTTTGTGCTGTTACAAGGTGGACCACCATCCTCTTTGTCTTTCCTGCCACATCCCTTTCCTGCTACAGTCTGCATGGCCACCCTGATGTCTCCCACCAGGAGTTCAGTGGAGTTGCTGTTTATCTTCAGTTTGGTGAAAAGACTCCACAGGCTTCACAGGATGGACAAGGTTGTGCTGAGCCAGGAATCTTGTTGGGCCTGAAAGCTGGGAAGAGCAGGGGATCTGAGGTGTGATTTCAGGGAGAAAATGCAGTCATAAAAATCTCCACTGAATTTGAAGCTGCTGAGCTTCATCAAAGTGAAGAGTGAGGATCCATAGGAAGCCAAATCATTTTCACACCTTGACATCATTTTTTCTTTTAACCATTTGCTCTTGTTCTCTGGGCAACTCTCCCCCTTTCCTCATTAGCAGAATGATGCAGGTGATTCTGGTTCCTTAGCTCCTGAGGGGAGATCAGTCTCACTACATGAAGACCAAATACGTGTCTCTGTGTCACCTGGCTGTTCTTGTTGGTGAAATGAAGTCTGTAGCAGTTGCTTTTGTGGTTTCTCAGGAGAATGGGTGTGTGCAGTGTTTTGTAGTGGTCACATTTCAGATGGAAGGGAGCATCTCTTTCCTTCCAAGGTGCTGGGAGTAGCAGCCTCTGAAGCCAGGCTGGCAAATGCCTGGTCACCTCTTGCAGCTCTGTAGGGACTGAAGGTTGTTTGTATCCTTGTGTGGTCTTTTCTTTGGTTTTCTGTGCTAGAGTTTGTGCTTTTCTTGCTTTATAAAATACTCTAAGCTTTTTGAAGTGGCAAGTACTTTTGATAAGCTGTCTGTAGGACCTTCTGTGTGAACAACCTTGTAGGGTTTTATAGAGAGCAGGGTGCCTTGTGCAGAACTAGTAAAGCAGCCCACAGGACTGTATAGCAGGGGTATAATTAGTCACATTGCAACCTATGGCAGGAGTAATGTTCTTGTCAGACAGTGAATGTTCTCTGCTGCATCTGTGGGTGCTGGTTACGGGGTGATTTTTACAGATCTCTGTTGTTTTCATACATTTAGTCAACAACTGTAGAAACGACAGCATCAGAAGCCTTGACTAATGTGGGGCTCTCCTGTACAAATATCCATGAAGATACACTTCATTGTCTAAAGATCCTCTGTACTTACATGTCAGTAAATGCTTCCAAACTCCTTGTGCAACAAAAGAGCATTTTTCTCCAAGGATTTGCCCTTTCTCTGCATCATAGCCTATGCTACCTTGAGAACATCTCTTGTGTTTTGCTGCATCTCAGATCAATGATATTTAGGAAACATTCTTCTAGGGTAGGTTCAATATGAGCCCTGTGCAGCCATACCCAGGGTCTTACTGAAGCCAGGAGTGGGTGGCACATGTATGAGAGCTCTCTCTGGTCCTGGTGTTTGGAGGTGCCAAGGATGTCTCATTCTGTTGTAGTGGGCTTTTTTTTCCTAGATCACACAGCTCTTGGGAGTTTGCCCAGAGCCTGGCAGAGTCACTGGATGGCTCTGAATGAAATGCACACACAAATACGTGGCAGGGCACAGAGCCTCAGCAGAAACTGTGTGTGTGCAAAACATCTCTGCTGCTCCTTGTTGGCACTTGTGAAGCTGTTAATGTAAGCCAGTGAGGAGCTGTGGCACCAGGAGCTGTCACTGGTGTGTGAACTGGGCGTGCTGGGCAGAATTGATCCCACATGTAGCTGTGCTAGAGAGATTAGTTCTTGCAAAGTTAGACTTTTCTACTAAGTTTTAATGCCATGCCTTGGCCTTTCCTTACTGTTTTGGAGCTGCTGTAATACCAAGAGAGCCCCTGACTTGGTCTGCATCACTGACTGTGAGATGTCACTGCCTTGAAGGACATCATGTAGATAAAGCCTCCTCCTTCATCTGCCTTGTATCAGCTCTGCAAGGGTGAGAGCCTGAGGTACAGATGGATTTTGAGGAAAAGGCCTAAAAAGCAGAGTGGAGGACTGGATGTAACATGCTGGTTTGATCTAAGCAATGGAGCAGGAGGCCTGGGCAGCACCAGATGTAGGATGCAGAGTGTGCTAATGTTGGGATCTGCATGCTGGTTGCTAATGCACCCAAACCAGTGTCCCCAGTGCTGTAAGTAGCAAAGGTAACCAATCCATGCTATAGTAATCCCTCTGGTTTTTCCTATGCAGACCACCAGTCTTGCTCTTAGTTTGACCAGAGGTTACCACAAACCCTCTGCATGGTAACAGCACACTGACCTCTCTTTGGAGTTACCTGGGGTCTGTATGAAGCTACTGCAGCTCTGCTTAGGAGGTGTTCACAATCCAGCAGATTCAGTTTTTCACCTCCTGAGTCAGAACTGGGTCAGCAGCTGAGTAGAAACTCCAGTGACCTGAGCGGGACAGCTCAAAACTGAAAGTCAGGCATTAGACAGATAGAGCTGGTCCTGTGTTGTGGTTCCCTGACCTAGGGATATCACTCAACTTGGTGGACAGTCAAAAGGCAACCTGAGAGGCTGGGATTTCTGCAGGAGAAACTGTTCTTCACCTGGGGTTGTAGGGTGTTTCACAGTGTGACAGCATCTGCTGTCATCACAGTGGTTGCTCTCTAGAAAGGCTCTTCACTCAATTCATCTTTTCTCTTGAAACCACATTTAAAAGGAGATTGAAAGTGACTTTCTAGAAAGAGGTGCTTCAAGGTCACATTCTCAGAGTTTCTGAGGTGTCTCGTGGTTTTCTGCTGACTCTGCCATGTTAGCAGCAGCAAAAAGTAATAAAACTGTATGTTGCTGGCACAAAGACACTGGAAGGAGGGTAGATGTTCTGGAGAAGCTTTGGCTATATTTGCTCCTGCTGGGCAGAAAACGTCTTCACTCCGTGTCCCTGAAAAACCTTATGCAAAGTCAATATTTTCTATTTTTTTTTCCCCCATAAACTTTTTCAGTAGAAATCCCCTCCCCCCTTTTTGGGGGGGAAGTATAAAATGTTCCAGTCTCTTGGTTACCAGCATCTGCAAATGTTCAGCTGAGTGCCAGGAAACTTTGGCTAAAAACTCTTTGGGTTCTGCATTTTCAGATAACTGAGGGTTGTTTTTATTTACTTGGAGGAAACACATATTTCAGAACATTATCCACATTATCCTGAACCACCCTATCCCAGAATGACAATTTCAGTGGAAACACTTGCCAAAAGCTTGATTTATTTCTATTTTTCTTTTTTTCCATGGTGGCAAACCAGGCTGCTGAGCCTTGGCATCATGTGCCCACCAGCCCTCTCCAGACCAGGAGCTAACACTGATCAGGTCCATGCTGAGTGGCCATGGGAAGAGCAGGACTTTCACCTTAGAGAATTGCCACTGTAGTTATGGTACCAGGTTTTCATGGGTGCCTGGACCCATGTGCAGCAGCATCTAACCCCTGCTTAGCAGACTGAGAGGATTTGAGTGTAGACCTCCAAGAGAGGCAGTACAAAGTGAGGCATTGTTTCTGTCCTCTCATCAAGGTGTGTGAATGTGGGCACCAGGCTGTGTTCATGCCCAGCAGGGACTGTGGTGGCCACAGATGGAGTAAACAACTAGTGAGCACTTCGGGGAAGCAGAAGCTTTGGTGCACAGGCTGGCCAAGTCACCCTGAGAAACACAGCCATGGAGGTGATACCTGTGCCATTCAATTCACTGGGCCAGGGCATGAACCTGTGTTGGTGTTTAATCATTAGTCCATTCCCTGGCCAGTCCTGTACCAATAGCTGCCATCCCAGCAGTGCCTGCGTGAAAATTGGGATAGTGCAGCTCAGGGACCTGTTACAGGAGTTGGGATGGATGAAACCCTCCCCCCACCAAGGTTTTGAGAGGAAGAGGATTCATCTGTGTGCATCATGCCACCTGCTTTAGGGTTAGAAAATGAGCTCTGCCTGCTTACTAGCTTAGAAGTACCCTGAAATTTGGCTTAAATGTAGAAGCCCATCCTTATAGGATCAACATGGAGAGGAGAGAGACTTGTGGGGGTCCCACTGAAAAGGAAGATGCTGAGGGAGGTTTGGCCTGCCTGGTCACACCTTCCCACAACAGTCACGGAGTGAGAAGTCTCCTGCAGGTTTGTCCCTTCTCCTGGTGCCACTGCAGCCCGAGCCCCGGGGCTCAGAGGAGCAGCACATCCTGACGTCGTGTCCTTCCTTCAGCAACATCATCCCAGGGCTGGGCTGGCCGGGCTGCAGCTGTGGGTGTAGGTGGCCACCAGCAAACCGTCCTCAACTGACCTGTAAGGGGCTTCTCTACTCCATCAGGACCCCCACATGATGCCTGTTGGTGGTGGAGGAGGTTTTGGGAAGGACCTGGCAGGGCAGGGAAAGGGTGAAGCCACGGAAGGCGGAGGCAGAGGGAAGCCAAGGCTGGCACAGGGGAGCTGGCTGTACATGCAGTACCACGAGCTCTGCACAGATTGCATGAAAGATACTTCTTCATAAAAATAACAGAAGGGAACATGAAAGACCCCAGCAGATGCCAGCAGTGACTGGGAGTCTCCGTGCTGGCCTGGTTCACCCAGCTCAGGACATGCTGTGCTCTAGCCTCAAATATATGGCTTGACATTAGTGCATGTAACATGGAGCAGGAATCCCTCCCCAAAGCACCTTGCTCCAGAGGGTAACTGAGGTCAGATGCTCAACCAGTGCCAATCTGCAGAGTTTCTCTGAGTTCAGGAATCCTGCTGAGACCCAGCCATTTGGCTTATAAAGAAGTGCCTGGGAGCCTGCCCCATCCCCACTGGATCTGAGGACTGGAGCTGACATGTAACCCTGTAGACCCCAGGAGGACAGTCCATTTGGGTTCTCCTCTCTCTGCCTGGAACTGCTGCTGTTTCTTGTGTCTTCCTCTGTCTTTGGGTGGATAAAGCAGCATTTTTATTCTTACATATATTTATCCAATATGCCTTGTGTTGCCCCACTATGAATTAAGTCTGCCATTAAGTACCACCGTTGCTTTTCCTTTCTGGCCTCAGTTTTCCATCTCCCCTCCCCAGCAGCCCTAGAGATTGCTTGAGGTTTCTTTTAATGAGGCACGTTAGGGCTGAAGAGGGGGGGAATCAGCCCTGTGCTCTGGGACTCTGCTACCACCAGGTCCCTGTGTTCCTTCCAGGCAGATGGGCTTGCATGGCCATAAAGCAGCAACAACAAGTGCTCCTGGAGGTGTGAAGCTGCATAAATTATTTAGAGCAGCTCTTCTACCCAAGCAGCCTGTCTGGAAGGGATCTGGTTCAATCCAGCAGTTTCCAGGCGTGCAAAAGCCTGAGCGTTTTGTTGAACTTCCTTGCCTGCTGGGAAATGCCTGGTGTCTTATCCCCTTTCACAGTTTTTGGCAGGAAATGTGACTCTGGAAGGTCAAACACAACTGACCTGATGACCGGGAGCAGTTGTTACAGGCAAAGGCTTGATGTGAGATCATGCAAAGTCTTTACGCTTGTGATAAATCTCATTTAACTCCCTGTGTCCACAATCAACCAGGGCATGTACAGCTAGCTCTTTGGAAAATCCAAGCTGAAGACTTCGTGGGCAGTGGGTGGACTGTTGCAGCTAGGGATCCCAGCACTGCATGAGCAGACCCACACCTCTTAGCAGCAGTAACAAAAATGCTCACCAGAGCTGAGATACAGCAGTTGCACCACGTCAAATCCTCTAACAGCTGTTTGGAGCATTCTGGATTGACATCTGTTAAGCAAATGAGGGGATGACAACACAGAGATTTATCCAGGGTGCCCAAACTGTTAAATGGTTAAACCTTTGTTTATTTATCTTCAAAGAGAGGATGCTGTACTTCCCAACTGGTTTTGTTTTTAGGGCTGGTGGAAAGCCAGTTCATTATGAGCACTGCAGCACTTGAGAGATTCTCTCCCCTTGATCTTGGCCTTACTTCAGTTGAGCTTTTTTTTGCTTTTTTTTTTGCCTTTTTTTTTTTATTTATATATATTTTTTTTGGTGTCCTTATCCTGCAGGAAATCTATGAAGGAGAAAATAGGAAAAAAAATAATAAAATAACTCAAAGCCATATGACTTTTATTTTTACAATCCAAGGAGTCTGGAGATGTACAGTGGGACAGAGGTATCTTATGTATTTGGTATAAATCCAGCAAACCTGATTTAGTGATCTTTAATGCTGGTGTGACACTTAACATGAGCAGCTCCTGATGGGTCTCAGCCTAAGTGAGAAGTGAGGACTTGGACTTGAAGTGTTGATCATGCTGGTGGATTCCCGCCAGAGATCAATCTGGCACAGTAACTGATGCAGAATAGCAGCAGAAGAAGCAGAATTGTTATGTTGATTGATCAGTGTTGACTTTTCACAATGGGATAGGCCCCTTCCCAGTACCTTTCTCATGCAATATTGTGCTAAGCCCCTGGGCATGTTGTAACCAAATGGCAGTGACAAACCAAAGAGTTGGCAAGAGTCCTGCAGAAGTGGGTGAGAAGTGTAAAGAAGCGCATCTCCAAGTGCTCTCTAAATCTGCAAGGATGTGTGCTTTTTAGAAGTCTGCTTATAAACAAGTTGCTGTGTTGATGCAAAGGCTCACATTGCACAATACCAACTGGTTAAAGCTCCAGCACAGAACAGCACGGACCTCTTGTCAGCAGTTCCTTGCCATGAAGTGATGACAGCCCAGGGATGGAGGGGAGAGGGTGCAGAAAGACAAGGGAAGCCAAGCCTGTGCCTCTGGGCCAAGGGAGGGCAATGCTCCCTAAATCCTGAAAAGGCATGAGGAATCAGTTAGGGTGGATTTGGGGCAATAATAGGGAGGAACGGGCTGTCGACATAGAGAAGCTGTGGAGTTCTCTCCCAGGTGCAAAATAGAAGCCTTCTTTGCTAAACAGGCCTGGTGGGGTGTCTGCAAAAGCCTTGCTCCCTGTGCCAAGGTGTGCATGATGCACTGCAAAGTACCAGGGCTTTCCAGGTGGCTCTGCCTGGTGTGGAGGCTCTGCCAGCTGAGGCTACGGAGAGGGGAAACAACCCTCACTTGTTGCTGGAGGATCACCCTCCAGCTGATCCCTTAGGTCTTTCCCCTCCCCGTTGTTCTTGGATTTGAAAGCTGATGTTTCTCCCTCTTTACTTTCATATAGGGGAAGGGGGAGACAAGAGGTGTATTTGAGTGCAAATGGTTTTCCATATAAGAAGTAGTTAAGTGGTGTTTGCACCAAGTTCACTCTGGCTGTTTCCCAGATTACTGAACGAGGCAGGAAAATGCCCAGATGTCAAAAAGGGGAGGTGGGTTTGGAGTTTGCATTTTGCTTTGAGATTGCCTGATTGTATTGCTACAAAACCCTGGAGCCCTTTTCTTTCTGGTGTTGACAGAGCATGTGAATATATAGTGCACAGCTCTTAGGATCCAGGAGTAGGTTGAAGGCCAAGTCTGCTAGATATTGTGTGGCCCCACAGTAAGAAACAGTTCCTGTTGCAAAAGCTTTGTAAGATGCCCATAAACAGTATTGCATCTCTAGCTCCTCCATTCCCTTCCACAAAAGTTCAAACCCAGCAGCCTCTCCAGCATATCTGTGATCACAGGAACAGTCTCTGAAGGGACTTAGATGTGACAAGTCCTCTCCTTGACCCATCCCTTTCCCATGTTCTAGGCTCTCTGCACACTGGCCGGAGTTCTCCGCCCCCAGGGAGCGTTCCTGAGGAGCAGCAGCAGATCGCACGCCAGGGATCCTACACCAGCATCAACAGTGAGGGTGAATTCATCCCTGAGACCATGGATCAGAACGTAAGTGGGGCCAAAGCATGTGGGTAGAACCCAGGCAGCATCAGGCATGAAGGAGGCCCTGCTGGGAGTGCCTTTCCCACTGTTAAATCCCCGGTGGGCTCTGCGCACGAGGCGCGGGCCAGTTTTTCCAGGAGTGGGTGCCCACGGGCTCAAGAAACAGTGGGCCCCATTTCCAGGAGCCCTAAAAGCCAGTTGCAGTGGTGATGGCAACATGCTGTGGCACCTCAGGTAGCTCTGGAGGAGCATAGATTTGGCACACATGTGCACACCAGCTGCCAGGCCCTCCAGGCCACAGCCTTCCCAGATCCCTGGGACCATGAGGGAGTTTACCTGGAGATGTGAGCAGCTCTTATACCTCCCTCTCCATTTGCAGTTCTGCTCAAGCTGTAGCTCTGAAGAGCTCAGTAGAGGTCCTGTGAAGTCAACTGGGCTAACTGGCCACACAACTCATTCTTGCAAAGCTCTCAGAAGGGCAGGACCAGTTTCCACAATTTGCAGGAGGGCTGGCCATGCAGAAAGGACACATCCAGAAGGTACTAACCTCACTCCAACAGACTGCTGGGATGGCCCCCAAGGATCTTGTCTAGGAAGATGTGCATTTCCTAAACTCAAACAGCACCCACTAGCTCTGCTTTTGTGTGCAAGCTGTGCCAGTGTTTCCATGGCAAAGTTGTGTTTTCAGTGGTTTATTATACAGCCATTAATAAAATGAGGAGTCACTCCGGGTGAGTCTTGGCAGCATCAGAGTGCAGATGTATCTTGTGCTCCTTGCAGCCAAAAGTTGCCTTTCTATTGTTTTCACATGCCTTCCAAACACGTTGGATAGGATTAAGACAAATGGTGTGTGCGTGCAGGGGGAGGGTCCACATGAACCCTCTCTTGGGTGTAAATCAGCACAGCTCCACTGGCTTTTAATGGAGCTCCATCAGCACTCGCTGAGCTCTGAGCCTATTCCTGATGAAGGTTCCCAGATGCTCTCCTTGCTTTTCCCCAGCATCACACTGTGGGTGGCCTGCTGCCCTTCTCTAGCAAATTAAATGCAGGAAAAGGATCAGGGGATGTTTGGTGTCTTTTTTTTCCCCTTCTCCTTGAGCAGCCATGTTTTTCTCCATGGGGGCTTTGCCCTCAGAATGTCCTCGTGCTGCAGCTTCCATCTGTGCCTTGTGGAAAGTCACTTACAAGCTGGTACTTCTGCCTTTTGGGGGGTGGCCCTGTGCAAGCCTGTGATGTAACTGCAGTCTTTGCCTGGAGACCAGCTTGGCAGATGGCCAGACACTGAGTTTGGAGCCTACTTGGATTCCCAATCCTATGCTTTCAAGGAATGAGTCTATTTCAGCCTTATTAACTGCTGGGAGAGCCCTAATGTGGCTGGCAGAGGTGGGGAGTAGGGTCTAGCAGAGGTCTTGCTCATTTTTGTCTGGGGCTCTTTGAAGGATGAGGCTTTGGGGTAAAAACTGGGACGCAAAGAAAAATTGCCCTTTCCAGTTGAGACTATCCTGCCAAAACAACAGGAGCTGTTATGACAACCAGTTGAGGAGGTCTGACAGGAACATCACATGGAAAGGGAGGCTGTTCCTGGACACAGGGAAGGGGGAGCTAGTTTAGGGTGATTCCACGTGGTGTTTAACCCTTGTTGCTCAGCTTTCCTGGGAACAAGCTGGGCTTGGGGCTGGCTGTGGAGTAGGGGATGGTGAGTGTCTACAGTGGGTCTGCAGGAGGAGGAAGCATCATAACCACAGCAGCACAGGGTGGCCCTGAGCAAGCTCTGCTCCTCCTGGAACTGCACACAGCCCCTGGGTCTGCCACTCAATACAAAACCTCTATTGTTACTAACTTGCTATAAATAACCCCGTCCAGTACAATGTCTCATCCAGGAAGCAACACAAATGCAGCTTTTGACTCACTGAGCTAGGGAGAGCCAAGCTTGTTTCTCCAGCCAAAAGCCCTGATGATGCTTCACTTATCACCAGAGAGGAAGGCTGGTCTTCTGTGCCAGGCCAGCTTGGAAAAGTAAGGAGTCCAGGGCTGTGCTCCTGGCTGTGGTGTGCAGTATCTTCTTGGCCTTGGGCACATCATTTTTGTCCTGAAATATATATAAAATTATTTTTTTTCCACAAGTCCTTTGAGCACTTTGAGTCTTACTGACACCGCAGTGTGGTTTGAACATCAGGGTGCTAATGAGCTTTGCCTGAGTTTCCCTGCTAGCAAATAGCAGTTGGAAAGAACAGTAATCCAGGTAGGGCATCATAAAAGGTTTTCTACTGGGAAGAAAACTTTTCTTAGAGTGGATCTCAGCTCTGCTGTGGCTGGAATCAGCTGGTGGGAATCAGCCAGCCACTTTGTTGACCCTGCAGAGACCTGCTAGCACTGAAGCCTGAAGAGCTGCAGAGCATGGATTGATTGTTTCCCCTTTTCTGTCACTGTCAGATGCTTGAAGCTTTCATCAGCCCTGATGAGTCGCTGTCTGGGAGCTGCCAGTCACTGGACAGGTCTGTGGACAGGTGAGTTGTGCATGTCACCATGTTTACAAGCTGAAATGCAGCCTCTGCTCCATAGCAGGAGGGGAGTGGGGTCAGTGGCATGCCTTGAGGTTCCAGTTGGAATGTACCCAAGCAAAACAAACTTATCCCGAATGCTGAAAAACAGATCCTAGATGGATGTGTGTGCCATGGTATGATTTGAATTACAGTCATCTGAGCTGGACAGAGTAGCTGGGGAGCTGTGGACAGCCTGGCTTTGTGTGCCCAGGTTTTCTGCTGTGGTCAGATCCTTGTCCTACGCCTCTGGCTTTCCACAGTCATCATCTCAATGCTCCATTAGCCTCTCCACGCCTCCTCCTCCCCGGCTATGCTGGCTGCTCTCCTTTGACTAGTTGTAAATTTGGCATCCCCTGTTGAGCTGGACAGAGTAGCTGGGGAGCTGTGGACAGCCTGGCTTTGTGTGCCCAGGTTTTCTGCTGTGGTCAGATCCTTGTCCTACGCCTCTGGCTTTCCACAGTCATCATCTCAATGCTCCATTAGCCTCTCCACGCCTCCTCCTCCCCGGCTATGCTGGCTGCTCTCCTTTGACTAGTTGTAAATTTGGCATCCCCTGTGCACTGCCAGCAGCCACAGACATGTCAGTCAAGGTGCTGAGGACACCAGACAAGCAGCAACTAAGTTTAGCTTCTC